TAGTTTCTTAAGGAATGTCCGCACTGATTATCACAGTGGTCGCACCAGTCTACACTCCCACCAACAGTGAAGAAGGATTCCTATTCCCGCACAGCCCCTCCAGCGTTTGTAATTGTTTTATTTCTTGATAATAGCCATTCTTTTGGGGTGAGATGGAAGCTCAGTGTTTTAATTTGCATCTCTCAAATAACCAGCGATGTTGAATATTTTTTCATATATTTATTTGATGTTTGTATTTCTTCATCTGAAAAGTGTGTATTCATCTCGATGTCCATTTTTGAATTGGGTCTTCTTTAAATTTGGGAGGTCTGATTTTTCTGAGTTCTTATACGTTCTTGATAGTAAACCTTTGTCTGACGAACGGCATGCAAACATTTTTTCCCACATTGTGGATTGTCTCTTCACTCTGTTGGTGGTTTCTCTTGCTGTACAAAAGCTTTTTAATAAGATGAGATCCTAAGTGTTGATTCTTTGTGATAGTTCCTGTGTGATCAGGGTTTTATTCATAAAGACTGTGCCTATGCCAATGTCTTCAAGAGTTTTACCTATCCTATCTGCTACCAGATTTAATGTTTCTCTCTTAATATTTAGATCTTTATCCATTTCAACTTTAGTTTAGTGCATGGTGAGAGATATGGGTCCAGTTTCAATTTTCAGCATGTGCAGAACCAGTTTTTTCAGCACCGTTTATTAAAGAGGCTGTCTTTCTTTCAGTGTATGTGTTTGGCCCCTTTGCCAAATATAAGGTGGTTGAACATGTCTGGAGTTGTTTCTGCATCTAAGAAACAATTTATTGATGATCATCTCATATCATTTCACCCCTCAGTGGGTAGAGACATTATTCACAGATATCCTTCCCTTTGTAAGGGGATGCAGTCCGTTGCAGCATCTTACTCTTGGAATGGTCTGACTGATAAACATATAGAACAATTAATTTGAGTTTGGGGTTGTCATTGAAGAGCTTTATTTTTAATTTGGAGAAAGATTCTTGGAGCAGTGCAGGAGATGTGATCGGTCTAAGTGGAGCTAGAGGTATCATCTCTGGTTCATGTTGTGGCAAAGAGCTAAATCCTGAGTACGGTTATAATCCCCTTTCTGACAGAAGGACTTTAACACTTATTATTAATTTATGTGTGTATGGAGCTGAGAATGGAACCCAGTGCCTTGCGCATGCTAAACATGTGCTCTATTACTGATTTATTCTCCCAGCTCCTACTAATTGTTTTATTCCAAAAATGTTGTTGGTTACATTATTTTTAAAAATAGTACTAGCAATACCTTGAGGGACCTTTATGATAGAATTAGGGTGATGGTTGCCTCCAGGAAGGGTTGAACTTTTTTTGTTTGTTTTTTAGAGACAGGCTGGTTTCAGACTGGGAGCAATCCTCCTCAGCCTCCTGAGTGCTGGGACTGGGGTACCCTACCATGTCTGGCTTGTAATTTTCTTTAGCAATGACATTGCATTTGTCTTTATTTAATCCTTTTCTTTAAGCTCGTCTCTAAGATCTGGAGCCTAATCAGCTCCCAATAAGTCTCACTATGTAGTTCAGGCTGGCCTTGAACTCACAGTGTTTCCCCTGCCTCAGTTTCCCTACTGTTGTGATTACAGGCATGTGCCACCATGCCTGGCTAGTGTTCATTTTTAAAGAGCATTCAAGGAAACCAATGTTTCAATGTGAAAGTATGTTTTGACATAAGTAATGCTTATCAAAATAATTAATTAAAATCATTAATTAAAGCTAGATATGGTGGTACATGCCTGTAATCCCAGCACTCTGGGAAGCTGAGGCAGGAGGACTACAAGTTTGTGGCAATTGAGTAATGGTCCAAAAAGGGTGTATGGGTTGGGAACTGCAGAATGTACGGTGATGGCTGCATTGGTGATGGCATGGAGATCTTGCCTAAGGTGATTAATGGTCTATCAGGCTGTTAGTGTGTGGCTGGATGCCTGTCTGTGTTTCTTGTGACATCTGCCAGCAATGGGTGTTGCAGGGAGGCAGCACGGTTGACGGCCTGGAGGTGAGTCTGTAGCCCATACAAACAAAACGTGCACTTTAAAAAATTATGTTTTGTACTACCCTGTCTCAAAAAGACAAATATATATATATAAATATATATATATAAATAAATATATATATAAATAAATATATATATAAATAAATATATATATAAATAAATATATATAATAAATAAATAAAAGGCAATGAGGGCCGGGAAGATGGCTCACTGGCACAGCACCTGCCTGGCAAGCACAAGGTCCTGAGTTCAATTCCTGGTACCAAAAAAAAAAAGAAACCAGGCAATGAGAAAAGCTAAGGCAAACTGTGTTCTACACTGAAACATCCCCAGAACACTCAGAACTGGGCATGCTGCACACAGGCTGCTGGGATTGAAGGTTGGGATGGAGGGGTGGGTGGGGCTGCCACCAGGCAGACTCCTACCGTGCAGGAGTCTGGAGGGGTCAGTATGCACTGATCTTGAATGTTGAGATCCTGGCTTTGCGGCTCACTTGGCTCTGGAACTCTGGCAGACCCTCAGCTTCCAACCGGAGATTAGGCTATGGCTATCTTTCTGAGCAATCTGACTAGCCCAAGACAAACAGAGATAGAGACACCAGGTTCCAAACAGACTGCCGGACCCAGACACTCTTCACTGAATGTTAAAGTGGGTATCTCACCTTCAGCTGAATGTTTATACTCACTTTTTTCAGTGCTGGGCGTTAAAACAGGTACCCAGCACCTTGCACATGGTAGGCAAGCTCTCTACCACTGATGTCCACCCCCAAACAAACCCTCTTTTTTTTTGGAGACGTAGTCTCACTATAATTCATGCCAGCCTCAAACTCACATTGATTCTCCTGCCTCAGTCTCCCATGAGTGCTGGAATTATAGGCATGTAGGTGCCGCCACGCCTGGTTATCTTTTGTTAAATTGAGACCATCCTCTCCCCCTGCTTTATTACTGGAGTTCACTTTGCCTGAAAGGACTTTATTTATTTATGTTTTGTCTTTGTCTCTTTGAGACAGGGTCTTGCTATGCAGTTCAGGTTGGCCTTGAGCTCACTTTATAGCCCAGGCTGGTTTTGAACTCCCAATGATCCTCCTGTCTCAGCCTCCCAAGTGCTGGGTTTACAGGCAGGCATGTGCCACCATGCCCGGCATCTGAAGGGACTTTAATAAATTCACTTGGTCTCTATGAGTGCCTAGCACACACATGTAAACTAAACCCACAAACCTCAAATCATTGTGGAAATTACCAATTCACTGTGAGGACCAATGCAAGAGCACCTACAAAGAAGGAACTCTGGTATAGCCTCAGTTTGTCTCTAGAAATGTTCATCTTTAACATCTACCAAATAGTTTAGACACCTGGGTTTTGGGCTTGAAGAAACCAATGGACCCAGTGGGTGGCCAGGCAGCACGGGCAAGTAGCCTTTCATCCCTTCTGTGAATGAAGACATCAGGACATCAGCTCGTCTCTGCTCCCAGCCAAGCCAGGCTTCTGGCATCTGGTGGCAGCGGTTGAGTTGAGCTGAGTTCCTCATCCCCCCAGACTGGAGTGGCTGTGGGTACTGAGGAAGAAAGTGGGTTAAGAAGTGACAAGCCAGGGGCTGGGGATTTAGCTCAGCGGCAAAAGCGCCTGCCTGGCAAGTGCAAGGTCATGAGTTCGGTTCCCGGTACCGGAGAAAAACCACAAAAAAAATAAAAATAAAAAAAAAGAAGTGACAAGCCAGGGGTAGTAGTGAACACCTGTAATCCTAGCACTCACAAGGCTGAAGCAGTCTGCGGCCAGC